ACCAACTCACAAAGCTGCCCCCTGCACATACACACCAGTATGCATATGTTCAGGAGGGCGCTCTGTCTACAGCTTTACGGCCAAAGGCGAGTCCAAGATCGGCAGGATTTCAGACATCGAGAATTTGCTGATGGGGGACGTGTTCCCTCCGTGATGACACTACTACGCCCGTAAAAGTGAAATTACAAATCATTCTAGACTGGCTAATTCCTGTTTTGTGAAGATGTGGCACGCATGGACTCTTTCACTTCACCGCTCTCCAACCACGAAGGCAAAGTAAAACAAAAGCTGTATTTATCAAACATGACCACAACTTCCAATTCGCCATGCAGAGAAATCCGTTGAGTTTGATCCCTCGGATTGGGTTACCGAGGTATGAGTGTTGCGACACATACCTGGAGTGAGACGCATAATTGGGCCAATTCAGGCACCAATTGCAAGCTGAATGCATTGTCTGGTACCGAATAATGATTCATCAATATATGCAATGCTCATTTGAGGTCGAAAAATTCAGAAATGTGCAAGGATATGACAAGCGGTCCTTTGCCCCTTTGCCCCTTTGCCCATTTCCTTATGACTAGCACCATTAAGCTCACCTGCCGCAAAGCTCCCCTGCACCGTTGTCTGTGACTGACATGGTAGCGTTGCACACGGCCATCTCACTGAGCACAGGGCGCCACACGTAGCCACAGTCATAACTTCTAAGAATGTTTCATACTTCAGCCGATCGGAACTAGCCATAGATTACCAAAATTGGTTCTCCAGGGCATGAAAAAACGAACTGATGCTTTGTCACAACGGTTGCTCGTACGGAATGGTAATGCTCAGGGCATAACTCTTTCTTGAACTTCTCGCGACGCCCGGCGGGACGGATCGTAACGAAGGATAACTCTCCTATGAGGTCGCACACATAAAATATCCCTTGTGTGATCCAGGCGTGGTCTCATACGCCCGCTTTGAGCGCCTAACGCACTGAATCCAGGACTTGTAGCATAGGTAATACAGCGTACCACAGACAAAGCACGGACTGTCTACGTTGCCTTCCTCCTCTTATCACCCACGGGTACCACATCCTTGTGTTGCCCTCTCTTGCACTGGCTTATATTCTCCTTTTGGCCCGGCTCTCTGCCTTGCCTTTCCTTTCTGCAGCGACTGTTTTGTATGGCAGAGAGATAACCAAAGTGCATTCCTCCTGCCATTTTCTGCGCTGACATTTTGGTGCCCTTGGCGACGGCGACATGCCCTGAATGATCTGAATGCTGACAGAACCGGCCACAGGCTTTATATGTTTTTTTTTCGGAACTGTGCGGTGCTTCTGACCCTCCGTCTGCCCCGCGAATTCAGCACCGGCTCTGCCTGCCGTGGCGTCTGTAGCACTCAGCAGTACGCCCGCACCACCCGTGCCCGACTTCAGAGACTTGGTCCCTGTTCCTGCGTCATGGCTGACCCCGTGAAATCCTTATCTGAGAACACCTTGTGCTTGACTAAAGAAAATTGAGTCGGCTCTGGACTGACTCCCAGATAATGAGATCCAATTCAATCCACGACTCATAGCTGTTCCACATTTTTTAATCGACTCAGTTCGAACACATTGTGTGGATTGAGTCATTTGACCCATAAGTCACACGGCTTAAAAATCAAAGTCCTGATTAAATTTTGGCTTGTTCATATTATATATATATATATATATATATATATATATAATACATAGACATGATAAGTTGTAGACATAATAAGTTATGGACCTAACATGACCATATCTATTTACCTGAACTAATAAGCATTACCAATTACAATTGCATTTTTCCACAAAGCTCGCGAACGATCCCAGCAAAAATCCTTTTTACGCGACCACACGTCTTCTCGTCAGCAAGGAACTGAACAGAACGGAGCTGAACTGAACTCTGAACATCCGAACAGGAGATAGGCTAGCCAAGGCGTCGACTCTAGTTTCCAACAGGGTACTTTATCAGGACACTATGATGGGTTTAAGGGCGAAAACAGGCTTCCGCGCTGCGTGGAGATTAGTGTTGTGCGCCACATTGCCTGCATTCCAAGAAGAGAAGATTTTTTCACAAGTTGCGTGTTGCGTGGAAATAGTTATTGAAATACCTGGGAGGTCGTGTGTGTGACATTGCAATGCGCCTATGAGGCAAGACGGCCTTGCTGTTCATTTCATATAGCCTCAGCCAAGGCTTCTACAGAGCCTCTGCAAAAGCATGCTTAGAGCAGTTCATGTTCTGTATCATGCAATACCATCTGGTTCCTAGCTGAGATATGCCACACGTTAGTTCGAAATGAACAGCGTTGTGTTTGCTGCTTAAAAATAACAATTACAAATTTCATGCTGATTTTGCAAAAGGCGGTTACAACTAATGCTACATGCTTTTTTAACAGCGTGAGATGGTCTGCAAATTTTGGTCTTGTATGGGGTATGTTGTGTTTCCTTCATGTTACCATTTTCAATTGAGCCATATGACTCACTGACACAACGTTATTAGCACTTACTGACTCACAACTGAGTTCATGAAATTTTCGAAGAATGTGATCCAGCTTATGATTCAGAGTGGTGTTTTCTCTAGTGTATCGATTCAGCTCACGACTAATCCCAAAATCCATCCATGTCGAGTCGATCCATGATGCGGCTCGAGTCAAACACAAGTCTGGTCACATAACTGAAGACGGAGCCAAAAGTGACACCCATCTCGTACACCGTCACTCGCTCGCCGCGTTGGTAGATGAGCTAGCTTCCGATCCCAATATTGTAAGCTGCCGGCCAGAGACTTGAAGGAGCTGACAGCCAGCAGCTCCAGCTGGTGCGTGGTGTGCGCTGGGAACGTCAGAAACTTAACTTTATGCTCTCTTGTGAAGCACATCATCCCACCTTTTAAAATTGTATGGCTGTGGTGGCCATTAAAAAGAAAATGGGACCTCTGCGATCGATGCCGATTCGCAGCTTCTGGGGTCACAGAACAAAGATGAAATGAACCGTAAACGCCGACCAACTTTTTAAAGGAGCTTTTGTAATATTTTCTGAATTATTCTTAAATTTTCTACTGAAAGGAAAACAAAGCAGCTCACATTCGAGGAGAAATCAAAATTGGGCTTGGCTTGGTCTTTGGCGAACCGATTTGTCCAAAACCCTGCACGTTTTGGTGATGTT